AATGTATATTTTATCATTCCTAATCAAGTTCGCATAACGAATACGGGAGATGTGACGGCCGATTTGCTAGTACAAGCCTGCTTTAGTATAACGTAGATAGGTTGAGACCCCATTAGATCTCAAGTTGATCCTGCAATCTCCTAAGGCGATACCAGACTACGAGTGCGGCGTCTGTAATAGGCGCTCATGTAAAAGACGGTCCCATATTCTCGACTTCACGTAAAGTCAGTGTCACGTATACTCACGTACAAAATTGTAAGAGCCCTTTAGCAAAGTGCTTTTGTTGATAATGTCCTCAGTCAACTACGCGCTTGACTGTGAGATACAAAACGTGACAGGAGCGATTAGACAGTTTACATAATTCGCGTACACGAATATCTTATCATCGAGTGATCTACATGATATAGCTGATCATCCATAATGTTTTGCGATTAATTGCGAAATTGAGTATTTTCTATTGTAAAATAATGTTATGCCATTAAGAAAAAAAATAGAACTGTATATCTAACAGTTTGCAGAATGCAAATTAATTGGTAAGAAATCTGATTAAAATAATATTTTGAAAGATTTCAATTGTAATATTATATTGTTATAAAAATACAAAAATAATAGTCGAAATTTCAAACATATATCGATATCAGGAGTAACAAATCCCTTGCAAAGTATGCACATCCTGTATTGATCCTGTTTTTTATGCGCGTGCTATCGCATCCGAAATAATTTCTCCATTTATCTCCGTGTGGAACACACAAGCTACATATTATCGCGGCTTTCCCGTTTCGAACCTAGCATGTTTAAAGTTCGTTTTTCTTGGTTTAGACGATGCCATTGTCCGCCGCGAACAACAGCAACAAGAAAGTAATAACATCATGGAGAAATGACAAATTCGCTGCAAATATTGCAGCGTATATACGTCATAAATTCACGTTATAGCTATAACGCTGGTCGCATAACGGTTTTCACCGTGTGTTTTACATTATACTAAAATGTAATCCGTTATAGTTAACGCAGACGCACTAATGTTGGTCTAAATTATAGAATAGCGAGAAATTATTCTCCGACAGAACTGATCGCTCGAGAAAATCATCGATTATAAGATTATCTAATAGTTAAAAATGTACAACTAACTTTAATTTCAATACCCGCGGAATTCCCATTGCTTATTATTAAACTTTCTTGGCCTAAGACATCTTCCTCAAATCTTCGCGGCACAAAAATTAATCCCATTCAAATGATCTGACATTTATGTTTATTACCGACTTCTAATTTCGATATATTGCTCCTTTATTTAAAAAATAACACAATTAAAAAAATATGATTTTCGAGTTATTATCATAAACGATTTAAACTTCTGTCAAACGACTTATCCTGTCAATCATCAAAACAATTAACTTAATTTAAATTATAAAAAAAACGTTACAACTCAAAAAATACTTTAAAAAATCGTCATAACTCTAAAAGGATAGTTTCTTATTCCCAAAAGTAATCACCTGATTTTTTTTTCTAACAAATAAAGATTTTAATTTATATCACGCTTTTTTTATTGCGGGTTTTCGATACAACTATATATTTAAAAAATAGTTGTTAAAAAAAGAAAGAAAATATGTTAAATGATATCCACACAAAATAATAATAGTTTATAACAATTCATATTTTTTCGCCGCTGGCGAATAAAAATCGGTGATTATTCTAGGTTTGAGAATAATTGTGAAAAAAATGACAAAAATGACATTTGATTATATTAAGATATTCTTCTTGTTGATTACCTATTCAGTAATTTTCTGTCAAGTTAAAAATAATTTTTCTTTTTTTTTTAAACTTAATTTTTGAGTTGTGTCATTTTTTAAATAAGCAATCGATATGCTTTAGTGAGTAACTTATTTAAGAGAATAGTTTCTTTAATGTACTTTAAATATAATACATTCTTTTTTATTCTAACCAAGAGAAAATTGCCGAGGGTCGAAAGATGTAAGATCGGCGATTAATTAATAGCGCAAACAACAGGTCTATTTGCGAATCATCTTTATATGCGTGCTGTGTCTTCGCTAATTATACAAACTATATAGAAGTGTACGACGACAGAGTGCAAATTGTAGATCGAATTTCGCGCAGTAGCAGTATTCCATCGCACGGATTACACAGCCACATCGATAACCTTGTGTAATAGAACCATTCTGAACCAATCGCAAGGAAATTGCTTCTCGAAAATACACAGGGCAAAAGTGTAGTCCTACGTTGGTTGAACGTTAACGAACTTAAAGGTCTAGCTAGTATCGAAATCGCCCTCATACGTTTTATCGTGTATCGTGGATACAACAAAGTCAAAGGACTTCATACAACGGATTAGCAATTTTTCTTTTTTATCTTCTCGAGCACTTCGCTTCAACTACATGTATATTTTATTCACGAAAAAGTCATGAAAATCGCCTCAAACATATGTTCCTTATGTATACGCAATTGTTAAGAACTGTTAAGAACAGACAAAAAGTCATCTATAATGTACATAATTTCTTTAGTTTTCCAACGGAGCATCATGCATTATTATTGTTATTTTGTCGAACTGGCACATCTCGCGAACATTGGAAGATAGTCTTGCGTGCGCAAGTTCAGCATGTCTATCGGTCGTAACTTCGTTCGCCATTGGTATCTCTATTCGTCCCCGGTTTACGAACTTGACGATGAGAAGCGAGGGTATATCCATGGACATGTTTGTAACATCCTATAGCCACGCGCCCATGCTCAAACTTACATTACCGTGTTCAGACGCGGAACGTTTCGCAATAGCTCTCGAGCGGGAGGGATATGTACACGCAGGGGAGACGCACATAGCTGTAATACGTACATACGCGATGTGTGGCAAACGCAGCGAGATAATGCGCTGACAGGTGAGAAAGGTGGACGGAAACCGCGACCTCAGCAGAGATTTGCTTCTATTATGATTCGTCATACTCTAGATCGCATCAGAAAAATTTTTTTAGTCTGAACAATAAAACAGAATTGCTCTCATCTATCTCCCCCTTCTATCGGAGTATCCCCCATGTGAATTTCTCGATCCAATGTTGACATATGTGATACAGTTCCTATAAGTGTCTTTTAAAGTACTCTTCCTGAACCGTGTTGTGTCACAGCTATCTGAATATCTTCAATACTGACAGATATTCTCTTCTAGAAATCTACCTCGATTTTAACGTATATATAGTCAACACAAAGTGCATATATATTTGTATATATCTGTGTGCGCAAAGCACCTTAAGCCGGATCAAGCAAACGAACGTGAACAAACACGAATGAACAACTTGCTTCAGTAAACGTGAACAATACTGCTATAAGCACGTTAAAGTAAGCTATTCATTCGTATTTATTCGCGCTCGTTTATTTGGTTTGAATACGGCTTCACGTATCAGATATATTGTATTAAAAAAGTTCTCGATCAGAACGATTCTATTAAATTGTTAAGGTTGAAGAAGTTAAAATTCTTATTAAGAATTCATTTCCTAATTTTTTATGATTAATTAATTAATTAATTAATTACAAAAAAAAATAATACGAGTAATATAAATGAGTTTACTACAAACAATGCAAACCGCTCACGTTCTACATTCGCGCGAGTCTTAGACAATAATACTAACGCACGCTCGCTTGAGCAAGGTTTAAACTTACGACCCTACTGTGACGTTTCGCTAAATACTATAGCCACCCTAATTCCTCGGTTGTCACCGAGCCTTTAATGATGTTGTCAGCCGGTACGTCCTCTTATTGTCGCCATTAATACAGGACGGATAATGCAGGATGTCATAGGAATTAGGAAACCCTCGTCAACGAGAATGAACATTTCACCAATTGTACATTTGATCGGTAATTTAACTAAGCAAACGTGACTTATAAGAAATTACCGACTCTATTACAATGTATGGAAAAATTTTGATACAATTATATTTAATATGTTTGCATTATTCGGTTTGCGATTTATGTTTAATATTAATTATCTGCTTCATAAAATTTTTACCGAGGAAAATTTAATTTTACATCTTTTATCGTTCTTTCCAGAAATCCATCAATCAAATGCGTAAGTGCTTCGCTTCGATTGATCGTCCTTAAAAACAAATTCAACGATCAATCATGTTAAGTAGTCAAAGTATCGTCTAGAACCAAGTGAATGTATAAGCTAAGTTCGATATAGTGTCTGATCTTTTATTATTAGAAATCAAATAAGTCTTGAATAATTTGAGAAAGCCTTTCGGAAACCCTTCGGAAATTACAAAGCACTGTTAATTAAAACATGATAATGCTAGACTAGAAAACATCAGTAATAGATACTAAATGTCATGTCTAATTTTATACCTAGTGTTATAATCATTATAAAAAGAACAACATAATCTATAGATATCATAGGTAGTACCATTGTACAAGAAAAATATAAAATTGATAGTTATTTTTTTATTAATTGTTTGCACGGAAAGAATGAATTTGCTGAAGCATCTAAAAATTTTGCTGTATATATATATATATATA